TATTATTGCATAATAAATTATTCCAAATATTAGTGGCTTAAAACAAGAAATATTTATTCTATCACAATTTCTGTCCATCCTGAATTTGAGAACAGCTTAACTAGTTGGTTCTGGTTCAAGGTGTCTTATGAAATTTCAGTAAGGTTCTTTCTGGAGCTATCATCAACTGAAGGCTTAACTGAGGCTGAAAGATCTGCTTCACAGCTGACTCATGCCTATGGCTGTGGGCAGGAGATCAGTTTTCTCTATGGATATTGGTGATGCATCAGGATTTTTCCCACGGGGGCCCTCCATAGATTGCTTAAGTAGCCTCACAACATAGCAGCAAGCTTCTCCTAGCACTTGAGAAAAAGAGAGAGGCAGAGAACGTTTGACCTAGTCTCCAGAGTCACACCCCATTGTCTATATGCTTTCTGAAAGTTAAATGTAAATCATTAAGGTTGTCTAGAATTCAGAGAAAGGAGTGTCAAAGAACTGGTGGACACATTGTAAAATCACAAGTGTGTTCTGAATTTTTAAAGAGGCTGACAAATCTTTCCTGCTTACTTCTTAGATGCTATGCTATTCTGTTCAAATTTGTCTTTGAATAATCTTGTTTTAGAAATTAACATAATTTAGCCAAAACCTTAAATTTTCTTGAGGGAGAGACTAATTTTGAGGCTTATTTTATTGTGGATAGTTTATTTTGGACAACCACAAGGGAATTATGAATCACAGCTTTTTGTATGCCACAGTTAGTCTCATCCCTATTCAAACTTATATAAAAGAACAGTCCTTTATCTGGGGGTCAAGAAGCGTAGGATCACTTTAGCCAAGGAAATGACTAACCAGAGTCTGAGTTTAGGAGAAGGAAAAAAAAGAGCTCAAGCCTTAAGATAGTGCTATGTCATAAGGCTCAGGCATAACTTCAGTATGACATTGAAAGGTCACTGAACACTCAGGCTAATATTGTGTATGCCACTGAGTCAGAACCAATGCGTACATGACCCTCCAGAGGTTTTTCAGAGGTAGTAAATCACATGGAAGGAGATTGTAGTTGGTGGATTCAAAGCTCATGCCTTTGGGATTCCAGTGCAGCTTCTTCAGGTTAGGCCACCAGAACTCCCTCAAGCTAATAGAAACACTATTCATCTAGGGTAAAATTAATTGGAAAGAGGAAAGATACTTAAAAATGTGTCTAAATTTTATCTAAATTGTGTTTAATTTGCTCATTTACAGATATGAAAATATATTTTGCTAAAAATGGTTTGATAAAACAGGTAAAGAAGAATGCTGAAGAAATTTTGTTTTGCTATTTTTTTTTCCTCTTTTCTTTCTGTTTTTTTTTGTTGTTGCTTTTTGCCATTGGCAAAAGTTCCACTAGAACTAATTTAATCTCTAAGTGAAAATTATTTATTATTAGGCCCCAGGCTCACATAAATACAGCAGGAGAAGTTTAAGAAACAAAGTAATATCATTTTGATGGATTTCAACAGATTTTCACCCCAGTTCCACTCACATGATTTTATATCCATGAGGTTTAGAATTAAACAAAAATGTCAAGTTTTGGAATTATTTGTGGTGTGAATCTTTCAAATGAAAATTGAGGAAAACATTATCAAAGACCCACAAGATAAGTATAATGAGTTTTAAATCGTAACAAATGAAACAGCAAGCAGGATCACACATTGAGAAACAGGGTCTCACACTGAGAAATCATTTAGTAAAAATGAAAGCAAGCAGTTGAAATTTTCTATCAGGGATTGTGGCTAACTTAATGAAGGAAATGAGGTTTTAATATTAGGACAAGATAAAAGCCATAATGCAAAACTCAGAACACGTTTGTCATGATTATTATTAAATGTGTTGAATAGCACTAGATCAGGGAACAGATTCTTTTGTGAACCTATTTCTACATTAAAGTAGTCTGTACATTACCTGGTTGTTAGGGAATATCAAAATAAAATCCACAACCGTTATTATCTAGGCTTCTTACTGTGAAATATGGCAGGAAAAAAACAGAACACAGTGTTCTCACGAATGCTGTTTCTTTATTCAGATATGTAACCACATCTATATTCATTCCAACACTTCAGGAATCTAAAGTAAAGCAAATGTGCCATTTAAACAACAACAATTGAAGCACCCACACACTGAAGTACACTTATGCAATGATATAGCTCCACAAACGGAGAAATGGTGACTAGAAGAAGAAAAATTAGCTCTGTGGAAACTGAAATGTTCAGTCATAAGCCAGGGAATTTTACTTTGTTCAAGTCACACTTCCACTTGGCATCAAGTTGTGTGGTGTGGTTTTTTTGTTTGTTTGTTTGTTTGTTGGTTGGTTGGTTGGTTTTATGGCTTTTAGACTTGTTGGGTTGGGGAACTTCTTTCTTCGTTTAAATGACCGCTAACTTTAAGAGATATTTAGGAAGTAGATACTTAAGAAAACTTAATGGCACATGCATTGGTAGCCTGGAGAGAGGTTAAGCAAAAGTGAGTTGTGCACTGGCAACCAAACTATAGCTGACCCTCCAACGAGTTTTCAGAAGCCGTTAATTACACAGGAGGAAATTGCCCATCTTTCTCTCACAGAGAAGCTGGTGGATTGGAACAGAGTACCTTTTTGTGGGTAGTGCAAATTCAATTCCTTATCATTCAGAGGTCCCTATTCAAAGGAATAGCCCCTCCTAACTACAGGCCCAAAACATGTGAGATGAAACCTCACTATCCTTGCCTCTAAGGAGTACTCTGGCTGCAACTTCTTCAAGTCTTATATCTTTGTTCTCTTGACAGCCGTAAAGATTAAAGCCATGGAAACACTGTGGGGCATCTCTATCCTGTCCTGTAGAATTGACAGCACACAATAGCAATAAAAATAGCACTGTTAAAAAACTAAGCATGAAAAAAAAAAAAACTAAGCATGGAAGATTTCAAATTAATGTTTCTAAAAATGTGTGAATGGATATGAATGAATATCATGTATAAGTTTCTAGTTCAGATAATAAGAAGGGCCATGCCATGTACCAAAAGAAAGAATACAGAAGAAAACATGAGTTTACACTGAGCTTGAAATTCTGTAATACATCCAAGCAAGAGCAACATCAAGACATGTTATTCAGTTGCTAATTATAGGTCCAGAGCTCCTGAGAAAGAAATCTGAGATTTGAGATCTAGATCTGTATAAGTTGAAGCTAGTACATGAATAAACTATTCCTGGACATCGAGAACATTGTTGTTGTTAAGTGCGCTCGAGGTGACTATGACATGTATCGGCCTTATGTAAAACAGATGAAAACTTTGCCCTATCCTGTCATCACCATAACATCTGCCGTGCGTAAGCACATTGTTACCATCATTGTGTCACTCTATCTCATAAAGAATCTTCCTTTCTTTGCTGACCCTCTAGCTTTTCAAGCGTGATGTCTTTTTCCAAGAACTAGAACTTCCAGACAACGTGCCCCAAAAGAATGTGAGATGAAGTTTCACCATCCTTGCCTACAAAGAGCACTCTGGTCCCACATCCTTGGAAATGAAATCTGTTTATTCTTTTGGCAGTTCATGCACTATTTTTTACCAGCATCATAAATCCAAAGTATCAATTCTTCTTCAGTCTTCCTTATTTATCATGAAGCAGTTGAAAACACTATGGCTTGGGTTAGACACATCTAATCTTTACTAACATTCTTACTCTTTATTTAAATGGGTCCTTGATAGAAAATTTGTCCAATGCAGCACATCTTTTGATTTCTTCCTGCTGCTACTGTGGGATGGAAGAAAGAGGGACTTTCTTCTCCTGTGCTCTTTACAGCCTCAGAAAACCTGCTTGAAGGTCAGTTATGACTTGAAGGTACTTAGTTATATAACAAGCTACTATGGGTAGTGGTTGTGGACTCAAGTAAAATGAAAGGGAGTGGAAGGCCAGAAAGCATTCATAATTGTTTTTGTTAGGCATAAGCTTATTCCGACTCATAACAACCCTATCGACAACAGAATGAAGCATTGCCTATAAGATCCTCACAGTTGTTGCCATGCTTCAGCCCACTGTTCTGGCCACTGTGTAAATATATTTCACTGAGAATGTTCCTTCTCCCCCACCCCCACTAA